ACGAGATTTCATTTTTAAAAAGGGCTCAATAATTTTGTAATACAGTCGGCCAGTGTAGTTTATAGCAAACATCTGAATGTGCTGGGCACTTTTTTCATCTGCATTAATCCACATTTGGTGCAGCAGGGACTGTTTCCATCAGCAGGACAAAGCTTGTGGGATTAAGTCATGATGAGCTGCAGTGTGTGTTTTTGGACAACAATGGAGGAATAAAATACATCGGGCTTTAGATGCACACACACACAACACTTTTGGAGACATTTATTCTTTGTTTTTTCATTAGATTCATTGACAATAAAACAATTTACGAAAAACACTGGCACTATCCTTTAAAGGAGCTAATTGTAATTTTTGCTATTACTACATAGCTAGCATTAGCATTAACAGCTGTTTATTCACCAGTCTAGAGGGAGTTGTGAGTTCAGCATCAAACTTCATTCATTTACTCACCAACAGTGTTGGGAAACCAACTAGCTTGTTTTGCTTCTATTTCTATCACTTCTCTTACTCTACCAAAGTTAGCAGGCTAACCAACTAACCCTGGCCCAGTTGGACTGTCTCATCACTTTCCGATACACAGTCACTGTAACGCCGATCCTGCTCTGAAGAAGCAGCTGCTCAGAGGACGTTTTATAACCTACTGTGTCGTTAACACGATAGCTGAAACTCTTTGCAAGACTGGTAAGTAAACACCTGTTAAGCTAACCTATGTAGCAATAACAAAACTTACAAATAGGTTCTTTAAGGCTTCTCAGATTAACCTTTTTCTCTGTTTCTCCTCCACTTGTTACAGCACTGTAACACTGGCTGTGCCTTGACTACTACAAATTAGCTGAGCACATATCTGGAAGCTCTCAGTGCCCATTAACAATAGAGCTGTCACTGGCCTGAGAACATAGTGTTCCTACACCAGAAACCAACACACACAACAATTAATCCCACTTATTAGCTCAGTTGTCAAAACTACTCAGAGTTTAAATCAAACGTGTAAACTTCAACAGCTCTAATGAAGCTTAATTGCTCGGGAAGTTTGTTTTCACAACACCATCAGTAACTACAAGCACTCAGTGTTTATGAGCTACCAAGGATTTTCAAGCAAAGGGAAAAGAAGCTAGATATAAATTCCATGCTTACACTGAAAACCATCAGCGCTCAACAATTTTTGAGCTCAGCTGCGAGTGTAGCCCTCTGCCATAGATGGAAACAAGCTCTTTATTTAGAGGGTTCAAGAACAGCTTGCTCTCTTACTGTGGAACATAATCACCACATTTGTAAACGTAAAGCAGGGCATTGAATGTAACCATTCATCTTGAGTTACCATGTTGTCGATCAGACATCAAGGCTCTCCAAGGCCTGCGCTCTCCACAGCAACCTACCTTGTATTAGAGAGCCTAAAAAGCTTTGCCACAAAGTGCCAAGGAGCCCTGGGTCCTAATAACAGCACCACAAAGAGCCAACTTATAGCAATTACAGTAAGCATTAATACAACATTAGGCACATGGTCATTTCTGTAGTTTGCTTTGACTGTGTTAACTGACTATTTATGTGTGGCACAGTCACAGTTGTGGAGAAGGCACTACAAATAAACATGCTGGCATCTCAGCAGGTTTTTTTTAACAAAAGTAACCATTTCCTCTGCAGAAATAACTTGAAATTTCACACCCTCATTCTGTCCAGCTGCTCCAGCAGTTTGGGGTTTGATTTGATTTCCTGGGACACAGTTCTTTATAACCAGACATTAAATGTGTCCGTAGAACAGCTCTAATTTCCGGTGTTGAAATAATGAAAACCGGTTTGAGCCGGGTCAAATTACAGCACAGCACATTGTCCAGTATTTTAAAGAATGTCACTGAAGCCTTGCTGTGTTAAAATGATGACTGTAATAGTGATGATAATGCTGGTGATTCACTGCTGGCCTGTGGTGATTGGACCGTTGCAGAGCTCTGAGTGTGTGAGCGTGTGTGGGAGGGTACTTGTCTCCAAAGTTGGATGCTTCCAGTATAAATACACATGAAGAAATATATATTCAAACCCTGTGGATTCACCTTTTGCATTTCTTTTATATCAGACTCTGTGATGTGACTGAGGGACGGCTGAAGGCCAATTGGAGGGAACCCTTGTGTTAAATTGGATTGTATGAACGATAAGGACTGTGGCCCAAATCTACCATATTCACCAAGGATAAGGTTCAGTGAAATGCTGTTGTGCTGGTATAATTTTCTTCAATAATATTATATTATACAGGCTTTTTTTGCACTGCTGAAATTCTACAATAATATTGAACATATTATAGTAGAACATGTAGTTATCCTTTCAGAGTGGATAGAACAAAATCTGAAGCAGTAATACTTTCACATCTACTCTGTTGCAGGTGACGTGTATTATTTGTACATGAGCTCATTCATTATGAACAGTAATATAGTTTTTGAACAGGGTTCCTTTTATGGCAGTAATGGAATATCAACAGAAAATAATGAATGCACAGTATGTCTTGATCCTTGGTGTCACTGGCTGTGTCTAACTACTGGATCATTTAGACAAATGTGGCGTTAGAAAGGTTAAACATTCCTGACATATTCATATACATTTAATTTAAAATAATTGAAATTTACTTATGTGTAAAACTAAAACAATTGTCACCCATTACATCAGCCTGATGTCCATGTATGTAGTGAAGTTATTGTCTCTACATTCTCTCCATAGAGCTATTTTAAGTAAACAAAATGAACAGGGTCACACAAACCCAGCGGAGCAGCTTGTTACTAGATGAATGCTGTAGGTTTCATATTCAGTCTGCCGACTGACACTTGAACACACCTCCCCGAAGACTGCTCAGCATGGCTGCTCATGGTGTTAGCCCACAAATATAATAGTTTTCCCTTTCTATACAGCTAATATAAAGCACTATCAAAAGTGGAAGCTTTGTGTTTACAGCACCAAAAGGCTTCTACTGTGAGATAGATCATTGTAATGAGTGTATTGCAGATCATTGTATTAGTGATCATAAGTGAGGCCTGGAACACTATTCATATTTTCCAGGAGCCATGCGCTGCAGTGTATGTGCTGGTGTGCATCATAGATTTAGAAATTTGCTTTTAAATTTTACTGATCCAACAATTGAGGTTCCTAAATAGTTTGAATCAAATCACTTGAATTTCAGTGTTGGCAGTTTACCACTGTGAGATGTGTGTTTTTTTTGTTTGTTTTTTTTGTTGTTTTTTTTGCTGTATTCTGTGCACACTGAGTGTCTGATGTAGAAACTGAACACATTAGTGTTTTCTCCTCCTCAGCCATTGTGTGTCACTGAGAGGCCAAGATGCTGCATCCTCAACCTATTTCCCAGGCTGGGGCTCCGCACCACAGCTTGAGAAGCCCAAGTCCCCTTTAGTCGTTCCCTTTTTAGCCTCCTTTTTACCTCTTTCAAACAATGGATCCTGCCCCACATCAAGCAATAGCCCCCCAAACAGTCAGTGAATAAAGTTAGTCCAACATGCAGCCCTTAAACCCACCCCAAGACTGCTGCCAGGCAGCCACACTCGCAGAATTGTTTGTTAATAGTCCAATTAGATAATTGCCATCTTTCACTCCTTTTCCTCTCTGTTTCCCATAAAAGCATGAATGGCACTCAAGGAGGGGGGCAGCTTGAAGAGGGCTTCTGGCCAGCTGAGGTGACAAGAAGGGCCAGAGAATGTTCCTTGCACTAGGCCACTGGTTTGAATTGAATCATTGTGGCCTAATCAATGGTCTTATTGGATTACTGGCCACTGCTGTGTTCAGAGATATTGTTGCAGTGACAATGAAAATAGCTAAGAGTTGGTGGTTGGGTGGGTGGGTAGTGGGCTGGAAGGCGAGTGGTGAGAGAGGTAGGGGCCATTCCAGGGGCATGCATGTGTGAGAGTGTAGGCAGTCTGAGCACTAATGACAAGTTTTGTTCTCCTGTTTTGTCTTTTTCAAATGTGTAGGTTAGGATTATGAGAACTGAGGATGGTGCAATCATCTTAATCCTGCAGGATGTGGTGTTAGTGGCCAGGACCCTGCTCTCTGAATCTACGCAGGACGACTCAGGAAACTTTCACACAATCCCTGTCAAACCAGAGCTGCGTTGTTAGCTGAAGCTGGCTCGCTCGTCACTGCCTTCATAAATTTTGATTGACATGGATTTGTTCACTATGCTTTTTTTCCACCTATCTCTCTCGTTCCCTCTCTGGCTCTTTCCCAGTTCCTCTTGCCTACAGTAGCATAGTGGTGAGATCTGCACATTGCAAAAACCTGGTGATTGGCGAGAGTGCCAAGAAAAAGACGGAATCAAAGTTCGCTGACATGCTGCAGCAATCAGGTGCACTGTGAAAAGTCTCGGGGAAAAATGCCTGGCCGTGGTCTGTGGATGGAAGAATGAAGCACCCGGGAACTTTTTTCAGGTCTGGAAGAGTCATACCCCTGTGATTGTGTGCGTTCATGTGGGGTTCAGGGAGGCTTGGTTGCGAGACAAGACTAATCATTTGTCTTGATTCCCTGGGCTGAGAGCAGGAAAACAGAGGGGGACGGGACGAGCAAACCCCTCTATCAAGACCTGATCTATTTCCCCAAACAATTTAGTGTATTCATGAGGTTACGCAAATGTGGAGGCAGCAAAATTACCGTAATCAATTGAAACAGCGAGTGCGCATCCATGGCTCTGATTATTTGAAGATCATCTATCAGCCTGATGTCTATGTAACGAGGAAAGGGGGGCACTGAATTACTGTTGAGTTTCACTGAGAAGTCCATGATCATTGGGCAAAGGGAGTTTGGTCAGTGATAATAGGGCTCCTTAGTCTGGCGACAGAAATATTTCACCAAGCATTAGATAGCTGACTGTGCCGTGCTGAAAGGTGCTGTTTTGAAACTAAAACCCACACTGTCCAGACGAGCTGCTGCTCCGTGCTCTCCGTAATCTCCTTTTTTTTCACCTGACAAAGGAAAAAAAAGACGAACCGCAGGTCCAAAAGGATAAACTGAGAATGGAGGTCAGATACAACCAAGAGACGGACGGGATGGTGTTGAAGAATGGACTAAAGGAGGGGAAGGATAGCAAGGACTCCCAGGGCAGCTTGTCCAAAAGCTTCCTCAAGGAGCAGCAGGACTCCTTTTCCCCCTCTGGGACTCTAGACAACTGCGAGAAGAACAGAGGGAGCACAGGGGACCCAGACTACTGTCGGAGAATACTAGTCCGAGGTAAGGCTTTTTTGTTTGTATGTTTCTTTGTTTGTTTCTTTGTTTGTTTTTAACAAACTTGCAGTTTGGTACTGAAGGAATCGTCCAGATGAACGGTGTGAACTGCTGTTAGATTCCCATGTATTTTAAAATCAGAGAATCTTACAGAACCAAGTTGTAAAATGAGGCCTTGGTAATATCAGACATTGGTTGTTGATGCATAGAGAGAAAAAAGACAAATCACCTGTTTTAGTTATGAGGATTTTACTTAATTTTAAAATTTAAGTTAATAGCAAAAATATCCCCTTAAACTAAAAATTGGTTTATTTAATTTACATTTATCAAGCCTATTTAAATGAAGAGGCATCTGGATTTGTTTTATTTTTCTTTCTTTCTTTTTTCTGTTTGTGTAACTTTATAATTTGTCATGAAATGTACTCAATTGTTATGAAAAAAGAATAATGTATCTTTAATTTTATGCCAATCTTTCTGCATAACCCTAGTGATTTTGTTTTATTTTTATTACATTTTTATAAAGACTGAGATGAACTACATCTTTCTTCATATGTCATACTTATATAATACTTGCTGTTAGATTATTCAAAAGTGTTTAATTTTAATTATTAAAATTACATTTTCATGTGTATTTACCTGTTTAATTCAAATATGTGCAAGGTCATGTATTTAAGGAAAAATGCCTGCGGGGTTTACACTGTAGGTTTGCATTTCACTTACAGAGAGATACATATTAAAATGATAAATATTCAATCACTCAAAAAAATAAAGAAATGTGAATTTCTTTGTACAGATATTTAATGTTAACAAACCATACGTGGATTTGTGTTTATGTCTGTCAGGGGCTCAGAGAGTCAGTTGTGTGATTTCCATCATGCTAAAATAGGATTAATTACACAAGATATAACAAGACAGAGCCGCCTCAAACATCAATCATGTAATATATTTTTTTAATATTTATTTATATATTTGTTTGTTATTTGTTATTAATTAAATGATTGTAAATTGATTTTTTGAAACACTGCAACAACTTTTTATTTTGAAAGGATTATGTAAAAAAATTTTTACATATATTTGTTAAGCAGAGATTGGTAACATTACTTTAATATACTTCTGATGACAACACACATTGTTGTAATTTCTCTTTTGTGGTAACATAGGTTTGAGTTAAATGAGTGAATGGAAATAGAACCGCATCATGTTTCAGTCATTTTTATTTCACGTTTTTTCTGTTGTTAGTTGCACAAATTTGTCAGCACTTGATATAAATGTGTCTTAATACATGTAAATTAAATTCCTATCAAATGACACAACAACAACATTATGGAGTTTTCTGTCACTTATGACACTTCATCTGGATTTATATTTTCCAATTTCATAATTTAAAACATAGTGTATCGTCTGTGATAATACATTATAATAAATAATTTAAACAAACAGTATTTGTCTCATCATGCACATCGTGAACATATACTTAAATTCAATAAGTAAAATCACAATTTGACTCATTATTATGAATTCTCAGTATTTCCACATCGGAGCTCCCTATAGTAGTAGTAGTAGTGGTAGTAGTAGTAATAATAATAATAATATTGTTTCAGGTACACCTGGCAATAAATTTTATGTATCTGTTTTAATTGCCTCTGTATTTGCCTGAACATTGTTGATTCAAAGAGCTTCTTGTTGCAGATGCTAAAGGCTCCATCAGAGAGATTATTCTGCCGAAGGGTCTGGATCTGGACCGGCCCAAACGGACCCGCACCTCCTTCACTGCAGAGCAGCTCTACCGGTTAGAGATGGAGTTTCAGAGGTGCCAGTATGTGGTTGGGAGGGAAAGGACTGAACTGGCCCGCCAGCTCAATCTGTCTGAAACTCAGGTAGGTATGCATCATACTTGTACCTACTAAATGTAAAAATTATGACCTGATTCTGTGTAAACAGGAAAATTTACTGAGCAAAAGACATAATGGATCCTTTTGATTTTAATTGATTCAATGTAATTTTCTTTTTTTTCTTCTTTACACCTACTCACTGCATCTGTCCTGACTTTAAATAGTCATGTTCCAGTCTGTGAGGAGTCAAAGTCATTTCATTTCACTCTAATCTCTGTTTGTTTGTCTATATCATATAAAGTAATATGATCAGATACATACAGTCCAAAGATAGAAGAAGAGTTTAGTGCGTCACAGCTGATCATATTCATGAATACAAACATTACTGATGTTAACAAACATTTAACAGCACCAGTAATCAAACTAGCTGTTGTGGAGTCCTGCTGGTTGTATTCACAGACCTATCAGAGCTCACACAGTCTCACTGTCTTCATTCTTTGTTTGAGGATTTCACACAGACATATATTAAACTGTATGAACTTTATGGTAAATGTAATTGATCTTGATTTATAGAGTGTTTGGCGTTGCCTGACACTGTCATTAGAGAAAATATCAGACTTCCTCCTCACATGGTGCATATTGGGTCAACAGTGGGCCCTGCAGTGTCCGCTGTGGGTGAACTGCGTTTGCTCTCTGCGTTTGACACCAGATTCATCCGGTCACCCTGTGACTTGGACTGAAGAGAACCCCGGCTGTCAGCATCAAAGCTCTGCTGTGTTTTCAGCCACAGTTTCGTTCATCTATTTATTTCTGTTTTAAATGTGCGAAGCGGCTAACGGTGCCATCAGCTTGGTGTTTGGTGTTGATGTGCTGAGGCTTTCAGAGCGGCTGAAGGAGGCTGACCCATAGTGGAGGTCTGTGAGGGGTCGACCTGTTCTCACAAAACGATGGCACAACCAACAACAAACACACGGCTCCTTTTATTAACAGCTGTGTAGAATTTACTTTTTACATTTTAAAATTTTTAATTTGGCTGCTTTTCTGTTTTTTTTTTTGTTTTTTTTTTACAAAAACTGAAAATTGAAGATGTTATTTTGCTCACATAAAGATAGTATAGATTTTAGGCAGGACAAAGGCTCCAGGGTTTTCTTCAAGTGATGAAAAAATGCTTTTTAATGATAGCGTGGTGAAATTAACATGTAGCCCTGTCACTCCCAGCCATTCACTGTGTGTGCACCTCATCTTTGTTTGAGCGACCAGCTCCACCTTATTGTTTTATGTGCCTCTAAAATGAACCAGATGTTCTGAGCAAACAGAAAACACATTGAATTCTCCTCTGGACATGAAATGGTTGTTAACAGCTACTGAGGAGTTAAACCTCCTATTGAAGTGAAGGAAAAAAATATTCAAATGTGATTGGACTACTAGCAGAATTGAGCTAGAGGCTTGCTGCTGATTGGTACATGCAAATTTTGTTCTATATTAAAGCAATCAGGTGTGATTACACAAGACTTAAAGGTACAATACATAGAAAAGCCTGTATTTATTTCAGTTTTGACATTTATTCAATTTAGACAACTGTGTGGAAGAACACAATGGATGTGTCAAAATAACATCATCAACAAGAATGTCTTCTTTTTTCCATCATTGTGGAAATAAAATTAGTTTTTTCTCTTCAGGTTAATACAACAGAAGCTACTGCACACATTCTGTCACATATATTTGAAGCTAAACCTTTTGGTTGTGACAATGATATCTTTATTCCAGTGAAGTGGAGATTTGTAGATCTTTACATTTTCAGAAATTAAAGGAGGTGTAACTATGGCAACCGCTTTTGATTTTTAAAAAGGCCAGGTTCACATTTAGAGTATCTCAGATTCTGTCTGAAATGTGTAACCTATATTTGCAGAGCCAGGGCCGATACAGGTCACTGAAGTAATAGGTGGCCATTTAGAATTTGGAGGAATTTGGAAATTTGCAGTAAAAAAAGTAGAACAAATTTTATATAAATGTGTTGTGTTTTTCTGTCTTTAAAATGTGTTCTTTATCTCAGAAAAACTACTGTACACAAACAAAATGAGGGCTGCAATTTACAGTAACACAGTCAGTTAATGTGTCGTTTAGATTTCCAATGAAACAATTTATCATTTAGTCCATGAAATGTCAGAAAATAGTGAAATAAAAAACTATCCCCAGTTCTCACAGCTTGATAATTGTTGTTTTCACTATCCAAATATATTCAATTTAAAATCAATAAATAAATGAATAAACTTAGACAATCCTCATGTCTAAGTCCAACAAACGTTTGGCTGTTTTGTTTGATAATTGACTTTAACAATCCAGCCATAACTAAAATTATCCAGAGTTCATTTTTGTCAATCTCGACTGATAATTTCAGCTTTAAATAAATCGTCATTATACTGCAATTAGACGACATCGTCATGACAATCAACAAATTCAGTCAAACCAGCAAACAGTAAAATGACTGTATCTGTTTTTCTGAGAACTGAGTGAGTGATTTCAGTTTCTTCAGTGTAACAGACTCAGAATCTCTGAGCGGCTTCACAAAGTTTTTGTTGTTGGTGTTTCTCAGTGAGTGTGTGTGTGTGTGTGTGTTTGTGTGTGTGTGTGTGTGTGTGTGTGTGTGTGTGTGTGTGTGTGTGTGTGTGTGTGTGTGCGTGCGTGCGTGCGTGCGTGCGCGCGTGCGTGCGTGCGTGCGTGCGTGCGTGCGTGCGTGCGTGCGTGCGTGTGTGTGTGTGTGTAAGCTTGCCTGTATATATAGCTACGATACATTAAAGAGTATCTGAACATGTGTGTGGTGGGAACACACAGGCGCTTTGTAACTTTTACTGCACAAACAAAAGCTTTAGTAAAATCAATGAACTTCATCTGTGTTGTTGTTGTGTTATTGAGTTGTATAGTCCATGCTGCCATAATCACTACTGAGATGATCAGATTATTGCTGCACTTTAATCACAGCCAGTTTTCTTACTGCTGCCACTAACAATAGAAAAGCTTAAAATTAAATTCATATTTTTTCTATCTGTAATATCTGGCATAAATAATATAGGAACTATAAATGATACATTTTCTAAACCCTCTTTCCTCTGTGCTCCTCTCCAGGTGAAGGTCTGGTTCCAGAACCGGCGCACTAAGCAGAAGAAGGACCAGGGGAAGGACTCGGAGCTGCGCTCAGTGGTTTCAGAAACAGCAGCGACCTGCAGCGTGCTCAGACTGCTGGAGCAGGGGCGGCTGCTGACACCTCCGGGCCTGCCGGGCCTCCTACCCCACTGCAGCAGTGGCACCCTGGGCTCTGCTCTGCGCCCTCCCTCCATGGCCATGGCCAGCAATGGCAGCAATAGCAGCAGCGGTGGCAGCAGCACAGGCACAGCGGGCAGCAGCCCACCTCTACCCACCGTTACCAGCTCAGGGACAGTTGCGGGCCTGCAGAGCTCACCTGCGGCTCACAGTCTCTTCAGCTTCCCCATGCCGTCCTTACTCAGTGGCGTCGCCACTCGCATTTCCTCCAATCCCCTGTCCATGGCCGGCTCGCTGGCTGGCAACCTGCAGGAACTTTCAGCCCGCTACCTGAGCTCCTCTGCATTTGAGCCTTACTCGCGGACCAATGGCAAAGAATCCATGGACAAGAAAATTCTGGAATGATGCTTTGTTTTTACAGAGATGGATTCCTGTTTCCTCTGGACGTGTTTGGTTGTTTTCTTGGCTTTCACTGTCTTTGTTTGGTTTTGCTCAGTCTCTTTCATCTCTCTGTGTCAAGTTCTGTAGCAGTTCATGTGTTCTAGTTGCACATCTGGAGCCTTGTAAAAGGAAGAAAACAAAAACCTGTACAAGCTCATCTGATGGGACCGGGTGGAGGTGGGAGGATTTTGCACAAAATATTCACAACAGGACTTTGTTACAGAGATTTAGAGAGAAACACTCTGAGGTGATCACTGAGGGCTCTTTCAGGTTTCTGATTAACTGATCATTAGTCCTATCTGTTCTAATAACCAGAGAATATGGCTGCTTCATACCACACTGCAGGAGTGGTACATAGTGTATAGCAGGAAGTGAAGGTGACAGAAAGTGTAAAGTGATGGTACCTTTTTGAGTTTTGTTTTATTTTTTGATTGTGTTGGGTAGATGCATGTCACAGTAAGTGGAGGAGGAGTTGTCAAACACCAGCAGCAGCAGTTTGTGAGATCCAATCAGCCGATTTGAATGTTTCAAATTTAAAATGCAGCGTTATGAATGAACAAGCAAGGCCGATTTTTCAACATAGAATTGGGGAAGAAAAAAAAGTGCCTGTTTCTGAAGGTCACTGCAAGGCCAGTGTGAGCGCAGAGCCCAGTGCGTTAGATATGCTTTTGCAGATGCCCTGCAAAAATTGATCTCACAAAAAGATCTTTTGTACATCTGTTTGTATTAAGTTTCGACCAAGCCAAAACATAATCCAGAGACGGTGTTGTCATACAGTTTGATGGTTCAATTGTTCAGTGTTGTTTTCTCTATGGTTTGGTGAGGATTTTAACATTTTACAACAGAAGTCTTCACTTTGTGGAATTTTCTTCTTCGAGGTGCAGTACCTGACTTTGTTTGCCTGTGATTTTAATACCACTGTGAGTTCTCAGAGTCTTGTGTACAGTTTCTACTCCATGCAGGAACTAATCACAGGAATGAGCTGCTGAGTGGGAGGGTCTTAAAATTGGCTTTTCAGCATTAGTGAGCTGCTTGCTTTGTTGAACACGGCAGCAGGTAACAGGTTTTTCAATCATTCAGATACAGTGAGTTTTACAGTTAGTCCACAGGCAGACTGATACATGTGAAGACTGAGTGACATTATTGTTGTATAAAAGTACTGGAAATAAGAAAAGTACCTTAAATTGTTATTTTATTGTAAATTATTCACTTCTGTAATTAATAGATTATTAGTATCTGGAAAATAATGAATGAATGTATTTGCAGGGTTGAGGAATCAATCAAAAGCTCTTTGGTGCTGTTGTTGTGAAATATCTTGAAATTTGTGAAACGTGTGGTACAAATGTGCATATATATGATGTATCTGGATACAGACAAAGTGTGTTTTCCATTTTTCTTTCATACATGTTGCTATGAACCAAGTTATGATAAATTTCATGACTATTATACCTCTTATATACACTGACCCAATGTGTGTGTGCTCCTGAGAGTTTTTTACACTATTTCTGGTCATGTGACACGCTGGTGTTTTTACTCTTCATCCATATTCAACATTTAGAACCTGTGGTTATAAACCTGTGATGACAGCAGGATTATAAATTGGCGTGAGAGGTTTTAAAAAGCAATGACAATAAGTTTTAGGACTACACCTAATTATTTCCATCAATCAATTTGCCAATTATTGTATTATTTATTTATTGTACAGTCTATAAAATGTCAGAAAACAGTTTCATAATGTCCAAAGTGATGTCCTCAGATATCTTGTCTGATCTGACCAACAGTCAGTTTACAATGATCTACAACAACGAGAAGCAGCAAAAGTCATTGTATCTTTACGAGGGAGCTTCAGCACCTCTCAGGGCGTAAAGTGGTAAAATATAATTTAGTTACTATTCTCCTAAAATACACTAGAATTAAACATCAAAGACAAGGAAGTAAAGGTTGGTGTTCTTTCTAGTTTAAACTATCTATGATTAAGTATCAACTCTGTGTCATTGAAACTAAATGTCATGTATATCTGTCTTTTTTTGGAAAAACATTTTTATGTCATCAGAATATGTCATTTACCAGATTAACATATATTTGTGTATATTCAAGATATAGCATTCAAATAAGTTGACCAAATGAAGGTCACTTACCAGCCTAACCAGAGCTATCAACAGCATCTTACTGTCTTAATCATTAGCCTCTAAGCACTGATGAAAACAGTGAGGTGTGGTTGAAAGCTCAGGAAAAAGTTAAACTACTGTTTCCAAGGTTATCAATGAACTTCCTTGTTTGGCATTGACACAGTTCAGGTTTTTTTAAAATTTTTTTAATTTATTTATTTTGGTGGTAATGAAAACACTTCACCTTCCCCCGCGCGCTGTGTGGTGGCTGAGGTATACAGCAGAACTTTACTGGTTCCACCATTAACAAGACCAGGTCAAAACCTAGAACATGGCTGCACCATGTGTGATTAGTGACTGAGGATGTGGTTGAAAACTGTTGTGGAGCTGCTGTAAATAACTGACATCATCATGTCATATTTGCATTCAGTCTAGTATCAGCTGGTTTCAGTGTAGTGTCAGCTGGTTTCAGTCTAGTGTCATCTGGTTTCAGTGTAGTGTCAGCTTGTTTCAGTCAACTGTGAGCTGGTTTCAGTCTAGTATCAGCTGGTTTCAGTCTAGTGTCATCTGGTTTCAGTGTAGTGTCAGCTTGTTTCAGTCTACTGTGAGCTCTTTTCAGTCTAGTATCAGCTGGTTTCAGTCTAGTATCAGCTGGTTTCAGTCTAGTGTCATCTGGTTTCAGTCTAGTATCAGCTGGTTTCAGTCTAGTGTCAGCTGGTTGCAGTCAGTCACTCAGTCACTCAGTCAGTCAGTCACACACAATCGCGTTTATAGGGCTGACCTTGTTGTTGTGGTCCAGCCAAAAAAACAACACCTCTACTGGACTGGTAGAGACAGAGAGAGAAAGAGAGAAAACAAATTTTTAAGTAATTTACATAAATTATAAATTGTGAGGAAATGTGCTCAAAGTAGTGGCAGAGGATACAGCATCTGTTCAGCAGTGTGCCAAGGTAAACAGCAGTGTGGTGTGTAAGTAATTATATGAATTTACTGAAGGACGGTACTTAAATGTGAACAGGGTTTATTTTTAAATATTAAATTAATTTACAGTTTGTAACGTAGTTAAAATTAGCACTAATTTGACCAGGATAACATTAATATGCTGTTTACATATTGATGCATCATTACTAACAAACAAACATATAAACAAAATATAATAATACAGCACTCTCTCTGATCACACTTTTGTGTTTTTACAACAGTACAGAAAGTAAAAGGGCTGTACAGTGTATTACTGCAACTTTTATTTAAGACAGGATCTAGGTACTTTGTCCACCACTTTCTGTGAAGAAACTGACCTAAGAGCAACATATGCACTTGGTGAGAACACAGTGGTTTGCAGAGATGCTACTGCAAGTTTAAGGTTGTTTGTAATATTCAGACAATTCTGTGTTCTGGTCTGAGTTTAGTTCTGCTTCTTATTGTAAAGTAATCACAGCAGAAATGTAGGGACTGTCCAGTAACAGAGAAAACTGAGGCTCTTTTGTGAGCAGAGTCAAAGAAACCAGTCCTCCCCACTGTGTCTTGGGAAACTCCCTAGAGGAAAAAAAGGTCACTCTTATGCCTCCTACACCCTCTCAGACCCCCCACCCCCCTACCCCCCCAGCCCCCCACCCACCCATTCTCTCCCTTCACCAGAAAGTCCAATTAGAAGGAAGGTCTGGGAGGTTTTTGTAAGTGGGGGGTTTTGGGGGGAATGTGCATATGTCTGCAGGCGCAGGGCTGTCAGTGCTGCAGACCACCAACATATTCTCTCCCATCACATGGCCCTGTCTTTAAGCTCAAGTTTTAGGAGGTGAAAGAAGGGCTATATCCCGTTTTGTTTTAGTATGTTTTTGTCACACAGTAGATCTCAGGATTAACATGCTATCAAGTCTAAAAAAACAACCCTTTAATAGTACACTGATCTAGTAACATTAAGGTCTGCAGTGCAATAAATCTACAGGATTCCTTCCAGGCATCCCAGTGAAAAACCTGCACATCTTAGTCACTCTGCTTCCTCAGAATAATTAATCCCATTAAGTAATCAAAGGAGTGAGGGGAGCGGAAACCCCCTGAAAGCATAGTTTTTTACTTGTGTATTCTCTAAAACACCTTGCATAAAGCCATGAAATAACCATCATTTTCAGATGAGTTGAAACACAGTAGTTATTTTAATATCACTTTCACAAGTACACCAGTGCTATTAGTGGGTACACAGAAGGAGAACAAAATCCTGGTATATAGTAAAATAGGCTATAGTATTATTTGCTACGTGTGAAAGAGTTGTGGTGATTAGCGTACAGAGAATTATTATCCGCTTCTATGCTTTTCCTCAACAGTCAACTGCTTTGGTTCAGCTAGCTGCAGCTAATTTTGCTGATGAACATATTGGACAATTTAACAGCTAACGAGCCAGATATTTTTCCCAAGAGCAAACTAGCTAAAAGGAGATTGAATACTGGACTGTCATCAGATAAACAAAAACAAAACTAACATTGCTCCAGCTAGTTGTGGAAACAGGCAATTGTTTGCTTCAGCGATTACAACTTATGAGTTGTCAATGTTGCATTTATAGCTTTGTTAACCCCCCCCCCAAAAAAGAAAAAGAAATCAAGTAATTTAGCTTTAATGGAAAGTGTATACCTGAAAAGATCAGTTTTATCTATAATAATAATAATGATAATAATAATAATAATAATAATAACAATAATAATAATAATAACAATAATAGTCTTATCATTTTATTGTATTATGTTTTAAGAGGTGATTTGATAGATGTTACTGATTCTGCAAATCTCTGATAGTCAGACAGGGAGCTCCAAAGCTGATAGGCCTTGACAGCAAAAGTTGTCATCTGCATATAAATGATAATGA